GGACCTGTAGTCCCTGCTACTCAGGAGGCTGAGGCACGAAAAACGCTTGAACCTGGGAGGTGGAGGTTGCGGTGAGCCAAAATTGCGCCACTGCACTCCAGCCTGGGTGTCAGAGCAAGACTGTCAAAAAACAAAAACAAAAACAATAAAACCCCACAAAAAGCAGTTAGACGAGTAAACACATACACTTGAAACCTGCAGGTTTTCCTGCCCAATTTAAATCAGCATATTGATTTGTCGAAGCTAGCATGATTTTACATCTGCCCAGTTAAAACACTCACCTGCCCAGTTTGAAAGAGTATATTAACAGGACTGTTTGCAAACGTCCCCCACATAAACAGGTGGCTTTCTGGATCCACTAATTTCATTTTTCTCCTGGGAAGGGCCAGGTGTGACAAGACTGACAACTACTCTACTATCCAATTTGTCAGAAAGTTCAGCACCAAAAGCTGGTTAACCAGATGGGGAGGGAGGAAGGAGGCATTGTTTTGAAAATGAGACTCATGGAGTAGGGGCTTGGGGGGTTTGGGTAAAGAGTTGGGAGCTGCAGATGCTCAGTCTAAGGCACAGGAACCAATGTGTCTGGAGATAGGCCACCCTGTGTCCCCAAGCCCTCCCACCCAAGGCTCCCCTCCCCCATCTGTCCCTGACCATCTGCTCAGGGCTGAGGGGCCAGGGAAGTGGGCTTGCGCTTTGTAATGTCCCTCCCCACAAAGCTATCCAGCTGCTGGCTCCCCAACCTCCCCAATGGAAGGAGGAGGGGCCAGAGACACCAGATGGGGAAAGAGACATCCTTACAAATGACAGAGCTGAGAGGGTCAGGGACTCCAGAATCGGTGCTTGTTTACTTACCATTGTCGAATTCATCAGGAATCTGGGAGGTAGAGAGAAGAATGGAAGGTTTAGGATGTCAGAGGCAGAACCTCATCACACCCAGAAAAGGAATCTCCAGGACCCCAAGAGGAATAAGCAAAGGTCCTTAGGAAAGAAAGGCTCACTCCAGACAAGCAATGAGCCTGAACAAACCAAAGGGGACCCCTCTCACCCACAGGCTAGGACTCCTGGCAAGGCCTCAGTCTCTTTCCCCCTCACCTTGGCACCTTTTTCGTCCACAGAGTTGTTTCCTGCAAGGGAGACCAGGATGAATATGAGGAATTGGGGCCCAGTCTCCTAGGTCCTGAGGGAGGAGTGGGATAGGGGGCCTGTGGATCTGAGAGAAGAGAGTTAGAGGCACAGCCTTCTGGATTCAAGCCAGGAGGGAGCTGGGAGCCAAGATTCCTGGGTCTTTGAGAGAAAGGGGGCTGGGGCTGCATCGCTTGAGTCTGAGGGATAAAGGAACTACTGGGAAGGCTGGATTTTTGGGTGCTGAGGAAAGACAAAGTTTAGAAGCTGATCTACGCCTATCCTTCCCCATCTTCTCCTCTTTCCTGTATCCTGGTACAGGAACCAACTGGAAAGACTAGAACAGGCGTCCCCAAACTACGGCCCATGAGCCGCATGCGGCCCCCTGAGGCCATTTATCCGTCCCCCTCCCCCGGCCCCGCCGCACTTCAGGAAGGGGCACCTCTTTCATTGGTGGTCAGTGAGAGGAGCACAGATGTGGCGGCCCTCCAACGGTCTGAGGGACAGTGAACTGCCCCTGTGTAAAAAGTTTGGGGACGCCTGGACTAGAACCTTAAGAGGTAGAAGGGTGAAGAAAGACCCCTGGTTTTCAAAGGCAGGTGCCCTATTTGGCTGCCCTATTGAGGAAAGAGCCAGGGAATTGAGATGAGAGACGTTTGTAGCGGGTATGAGAGGTTCCACAGTGGGCTAGGGAGGCCAAGGAATAAAACTGGGGGCAGGGATAAGTCCCTCACCAAAGATATAGACGACGCTCACGGTCCCACCAGCTCCAAGCAGCCCAGCAAGCCAGAGAGCAACTTTTTTGGCATAGCTGGGACCCTCCGAGCCCGGCTGCTGCTGTGGCCCCTGTGCCTGAGTGCCCCCGCGGCTCCCGATCTCGGCGACCTGCGGTTGAGAAAGGGGAGGTCAACCAAGAGAGAAGAGCTGATCGTTCCAACATTCGAGTCCAAGAAGAATCAAGTTCAGGAGCCAAGAGGCAGACACCCACGGAGCCCTGGACGTTTGTGTCCCTGGAAGGGCAGTCAGGAAGTGGGGCTGCTCAGAGGGTCAAAACCAGACTGTCCGGCGCCAGGATGCCAAGAGTTTTAAGCGCCAACAGGCCAGGTGCACAGGATCCTGCAGACAACACGATTGGAGGGTCTGAAGCCCGGAAAAGCAGATCAAGGAGAATAAGGGATAGGAGGGCCTAAACACTGGGATGCGAAGGAACGGAGAGCACAAGGGGGAGGGGTCGGAGGGCGGGAAGGGGCAGACAGGACCGGGAGATACGACATTTGGCTATTTGGGGCCAAAAGGTAGCAGAGTACAGTGTAAGGGATGGGAGTCGGGGCGGCGAGAGACAATCACTTGTCTGGGGCTTGGGGAACTAGGGCACAGAAGTGATAGACTTGGAGGTCAGAATGGCTGGGTCTCTTGTCAACATGGAGGCAAGTCGAATTGGAAATTCAAACGTCTATCTCACCACCACCACCACAGTAAAAATAACTCCCAAGGCAAGACTGGGACTCCAGCATCCCACTCCCCTCCTGCTCAAGTAATCACCTGAGTGGTCACTGAGATGGGAAACAGGTAACCCCCTCCTCCTCCGGCGCCCACGTGGGTGGGAGATGAGATCTGAAGGACACACCTGGGCCCCCAGCCTCTAGGCCAGGGGAACAAGTGCTGTTCACCTAGGAGGCTGGGAAGGGGCCCAAAACGCAAGCGACGTTTTGTTCAGCACCCAGAGGTGCGGCGTCCCAGTACCTCCAAGCGGCAGCGATATGTCCGTAACTCCACGGAGGGGATCCCACATTCAGAGCGCCACCCTCGTTCCGCTCACCTGATCTGGAGCCCGTGGGGGCGGCGTCGCCAACCTCGTGCACAGTCCCCGCGAGCCTAGCCGGAGCCCGCTCCGCAAGCGCGAGAACAGCCCTGCCGAGGCCGCCATCTTGCGCTGACGCCACGCGGCCCCGCCCACTTGCTCCCTTTATTCCCGCCCTGGGCCGGAGCTACAGCCAATGGGAACGCAGAGGAGGGGGCTGGCAGACGGAAGCCCGAGAGAGACCAAAGACTTCGGGCGGATTGCCGCTGGCACGTTTGCCCCAACCATTCTGCGGGCTGCCCCTGGGGGCGCCAACTGGGATCCAAAGCTGGACCACGCCCAACTTGGGCCGTGCGGAGCGCCACCGCCCAGGCAAAGGATGCAGCAAGGGAAGTGATCACACTGATTGCTCAGAGGCAAAGCAGAGGCCATAATGAAGGGAATCAGTGGCTGCCTGATTTGTCCATAAAAAAAGTCAGGTCGCACTCCAGCCTGGGCAACAGAAGGAGGCTCTCTCAAAATAACAATAAATAAAAATTAAAATTAAGGCTGGCCCGGGGGCTCACGCCTGTAATCTCAACACTTTGGGAGGCCGAGGTGGGTGGATCACCTGAGGTAAGGAGTTCCAGACCAGCCTGGCTAACATGGTGAAACCCCATCTCTACTAAAAACACAAAAATTAACCGGGGCATAGTGGCTCACACCTGTAATCCCAGCTACTGGGGAGGCTGAAGCAGAATTGCCTGAACCTGGGAGGTGGAAGTCACAGTGAGCTGAGATCGCATCATTGCACTCCAGCCAATAGATATTATGAACCTCCCCTAAAGTGACTGGAAGAAAATCATTAGATTCTGTTTACGTAAACCTTCAAACCCAATAATACCAAGGTAGAAAAATTACAGTGCTGCTGAAGTGGGTCCTATCTAGTATATACCGTTTCCTGATCTTGGTGGTGGGGACATGAGTGTTCTTGGTATACATTCTTGAACATCTGAGATGTTTTTTGGTTTTGCTTTTTTTTTTTTTTTTTTGAGATGCAGTCTTGCTCTGTTGCCCAGGCTAGAGTGCAGTGATGCGATCTCAGCTCACTGTGATCTCCAACTCCCAGATTCAAGCGATTCTCCTGCCTTGGCCTCCCAAGTAGCTGGGACTACAGGCGCCCGCCACCACACCCGGCTAATTTTTTTGTATTTTCAGTAGAGACAGGGTTTCACCCTGTTGGTCAGTATAGTCTCAAATTCACCTCAAATAATCTGCCTCACCTCGGCCTCTCAAAGTGCTGAGTTTACAGGCATGAGCCATTGCGCCCAGCCTGAAATGTTTTGTAATGCATTTACATTTGTAAAAAGACAGGAATATCTAATGAGGAAGGCAACCAGTTCTGGGTACTAAGCTCCAGTCTCAAGACTGCACCCGCTCCTGCCCCACGTCATTGGAAAAGTGACAGCAATCCTGTTGTCACTGCTGTCAGGGTTCAAGAAAAGGAACCACTGGGCACTGTGGCTCACACGTGTAATTGCAGCACTTTGAGAGGCCAAGGCAGGAGGATCACTTGAAGCCAGGAGTTCAAGACCAGCCTAAGCAATACAATGATACACCTTTATAAAAAAATATAAAAATAAAAAAGTTATCCAGGCGTGATGGTGCATACCTGCAGTCCCAGCTACTTGGGAGGCTGAGGCAAGAGGATTGCTTGAGCCCAGGAGGTTCAGGCTGCAGTGAGCAATGACTGCACCACATAACACCAGCCTGGGCAACAGAGGGAGACCCCATCTCAAACAGAAAAGAAGGACCATCAGCTGGATGCAGTGGCTCACGCCTGTGATCCCAGAACTTTGGAAGGCTGAGGCGGGCAGATCACAAGGTCAAGAGATTGAGACCATCCTGACCAACACGGTGAAGCCCTGTCTCTATCAAAAATACAAAAAAATTAGCTGGGCGTGGTGGCATGTGCCAATTCCAGCCACTCAGAAGGCCGAGGCAGGAGAATTGCTTGAACCCGGGAGGCAGAGGTTGCAGTGAGCCAAGATTGTCCCACCACACTCAAGCCTGGTGACACAGCAAAAGACTCTGTCTCAGCTTTGCACAGTAGCAGTATTGTAGCCAAAGAGGTTTATCCGAGGCACGATTATTGCTAATTGAAAACTTTTCCCAATACTTCACCATGATGACTTAAAATATAGTCAGCATTGGCAGTTTTTGGCAGTCTCTACTGGGATTGAATTTAAAAAAGGAAAACAGACTCCATCTCAAAAAAAAAAAAAAAGAAGAAAGAAAAAGGACCATCAAGCACTATATCCTGCACCACAGGAGGAATTTAGGTTTCCTGGAAGACACTGTGATTTTCACTTAGCATAATTCATGTCTGAATAAGATATAATGTCAGCAATCACATGACAAGCTCTGCTCTGATCTCCTTCGGATGTCTTCTCACACACATTCCCAAGAGCCCTCTGGGGCGGGCACTATCACTATTATCTAGATCGGAAAACAGATTTAGGTAAGGCCCAGTTATTTGCCCAACCACAAAGTAAGGAAGTGGAGTGTGCAAATGACCCCACTTAAAAAGAAGACACCCCATTCCCACAGCACGCACACACACACACAAACACACTCCCCCCAAGACTTTTAGACCAAACAGCTTCTTTTTTATTGAAAGACAGTACAACAAAAGCAAGCTGTGGGGTGGAAGGTACAAGAAGGTGGGGATCCTCCCCCAGACTCTAATCAGATTCCCATGAGCACCAGGGAGGGAGAAGATGGAAAACTAGAAAGAGAAATAAAAAGAAATCCAGAATGATCGGCCTAGCCCTGAGGCAGGACCTGGTGTCACAGCCAAGGGCCAGGGAAGGAAGGAGGATCACTCTTCATCTGCCGAAGTCCACCTGCCCTGCCTGCTTCAGGCTTCCAGGAGCTTCCCCAGGAAGCGGAGGTTGAGGATCTTGAGCTGCTCATCAAGGTCCATACGGACAATGCCATCCTCACCATCGATGCTCAGCAGGACGCCTGTGGCTTCCCGATCCTCGCCCAGGATCACTTTCACCTGGGGGTGGGGGTAATGTGGTCAGGGTCCATGGCGGTGCCCAACACCCCTCATTTCATCTCCTTGCCCCCTGCCCTTACCTTGTTGTTCTTGGTGGGGGTGATGGGCTCCAGGTGCTCACTGGAAATGCTGACGACCTTCTCACTGTCCTTCAGGTACACAGAGCACATGCCCCCCTGGAGGATGGGGACAGCCTGGTCAGCCTGTCCTGCTCCCAAGACAGGACTGAGGCCCACACTCCAGGGGACACAGGCTCAGGGCTTATTATGAAAACTCAAGGTGAAATGCGGCAGGAAAGGCCACAGCTGGGCCTGGTCCCAAGGCCTGGGGCCTGTGGTACATGTCAGCGTCGGGAGACAGGGGGGACCCAATCAGCAAGAGAAGCATCAGAATGAAGCTAACAGGCAAAAAAAAGATTGCTTCTTGACTCTTCATGTCCCAAACTGGCCTCAGCATTCTTCCCCGCACCTGTTCCTCTTCCTGGACCTCGTCTTGGGGCCCACCCCATGGTCTGCAGGCCCCACCAGAGCACTGGACTTCATCTTGGTCACCTCCCTCACCGACATGTCCCGGGCTTCGAGGCCTGGCCATTCAGCCTGTGAGGATCTCTCCTACCTGCCTCCTGCCTCTTCCCCACAGCCCTGCCCTAGTACAGCCCAACCTGCTCCTGGGCTCCTGGCCCAGTCTCCCAACCCCAATGGATCACTGATATATGGCAACATAGAGAATTCATTCCACGCCACAGATCTGCTCCCACCACTCTCCTACTTAGATTCCTCCATGGCTCTCCGGCGCCCTCTGGACAAGCCAGGTCCTTCAGGCTGGCACAGACAGCTCTCTGGCCTCATTCACCTTCCCTTCAGCTTTTTTTCTTTCTTTTTTTTTTGAGACGGAGTTTTGCTCTTGTTACCCAGGCTGGAGCGCAATGGCGCAGTCTCGGCTCACCGCAACCTCCGCCTCCTGGGTTCAAGCAATTCTCCTGCCTCAGCCTCCTGAGTAGCTGGGATTACAGGTACGTGCCACCATGCCCAGCTAATTTTTTGTATTTTTAGTAGAGACAGGGTTTCACCATGTTGACCAGGATGGTCTCGATCTCTCGACCTCGTGATCCACCCGCCTCAGCCTCCCAAAGTGCTGGGATTACAGGCTTGCGCCACCGCGCCCGGCTCTTTTTTTTGTATTTTTAGTAGAGACAGGTTCTCACCATTTTGACCAGGCTGGTCTCAGGTGATCTGCCCGCCTCAGCCTCCCAGAGTGCTGAGATTACAGGCATGAGCTACCGCCCAGCTCCCTTCGGCTCTTTATGTCACAGCCACAACAAACACTTCAGCTCCCGGAACGTGCCCGGGTCCCCTCACCTCCAGCCCTCTGCACATGTGGTTCTCTCCATTTGGAACATTCTCAACCCAGTCATTTTTCTTAGCTTACTCCTAATTCATTCTTTAGATCTTGGCTCAAATGTCTCCTTCCCCAAGCAGCCCTCCCCAGTTCCCCACTAAATGGTGTAAGGTGCCTCCTCCGGGTTCACACAGCTCCCTTTGCCCTCTGGGCTTCCTCCATCCCAGCTCTGCCCACTCTGGGCTGTCACCGTCTGGGGACACGTCTGTCTCCCATAGTGGAATGTGAGGTCTTTGAGGACAGGGCCTGGAGCTGCACTGGTCTCTGGTGTTTAATTTGATTAATATTTATAGAGAGCCAACAAGGTGCCAGTCCTTCACCTAGGAAGTGGGGCTTCTGAGGAAACAAATACAGGCTTTGTCATCAAAGAACTGCACCAGGGCAAGCTTTAAGCTTTCAGGCAGGCCGGGCGCAGTGGCTCACGCCTGTAATCCCAGCACTTTGGGAGGCCGAGGCGGGTGGATCACGAGGTCAAGAGATCAAGACCATCCTGGTCAACACAGTGAAACCCCATCTCTACTAAAAATACAAAAAATTAGTTGGGCATGGTGGCGCGTGCCTGTAATCCCAGCTACTCAGGAGGCTGAGGCAGGAGAATTGCCTGAACCCAGGAGGCGGAGGTTGCAGTGAGCCAAGATCGCACCATTGCACTCCAGCCTGGGTAACAAGCGAAACTCCATCTTAAACAAACAAACAAAAAAGTTTTCAGGCAACAGGGAGGTTAACATGAAGAATTACACAGGCCTGCCAGAGACAGACCCAAGATAGCCCAGGTACTTCCCTCAAGGGACTCTGTCTCTAGACAAACAATGGGACCAGACACAGTGGCTCACACCTGTAATCCCAGCACTTTGGGAGGCTGAGACAGATGGATCACGAGGTCAGGAGTTCGAGACCAGCCTGGCCAATATGGTGAAACCCCATCTCTACTAAAATACAGAAGGAAAATCAGTCGGGCATGGTGGCATGCACCTGTGGTCCCAGCTACTTGGGAGGCCGAAGTGGAGGGATCACTTGAGCCTGGGAGATGGAGGCTGCAATGAGCTGTGATCACACCACTGCACTACAGCCTGGGTAATAAAGTGAGACTCTGTCTCAGAACAAAACAAACAAAACAAGTCCCTGCCCTTGTGGAGTTATTAAATACATTCCAATCTTTTCTACATCTGTTTTTTTCAGCTATAAATGGAGACTTGCTCAAGTCTGTAATGCCAGTACTTTGGAAGGCCGATGAGGGTGGATCACCTGAGGTCAGGAGTTTGAGACCAGCCTGACCAACATGGTGAAATCCCGTCTCTACTAAAAATACAAAACTCAGCCAGGCGTGGTGGCAGGCGCCTGTAATCCTAGCTACCCAGTAGACTGAGGCAGGAGAACTGCTTGAACCTGGAAGGCAGAGGTTGCAGTAAGCCAACATCACACCACTGCGCTCCACCTGGGCAACAGAAAGCAAGTCCATTTCAAAAAAAAAAGAGAGACTTGAACATGCAGTTAGACACTTAAAAAAGAAAGTAATCACAGTTTAGGGGGCACCAAGGCGAGGATGCCTGCCCACCCAGCACCCTGGGCCCCACGTACCGTGACACTGCGGATGACACCCGTCTGTCCCACCACCTGTGTGTCCAGGTAGGTGTCCCGCACCTTCACCTGAATGTCAGTGGTTACCCAGTCGCTGGAGTTCTGCTCGATGCCTGAGCCTGGTGTGTGAGGGTTGTAGCCACCAGGGGAGGGAGCTCCAGGTGTCATAGGACTGTAGCCAACAGGGCTCGGGCTGGGGCTAGCCTGCAGGGAAAAGAGGAGTATTGTTGGGAATGGTCACTTGGCCTGGCCGACCCTACAGGGCTGAGGCCACCCCAGCCCACCACCCTCAAGGGCAGGCAGGCAGACCATTACCTGATAGGCCATGGGTGAGGGTGTAGGGTGGTAGCTGGCCGGGGAGTGGGTGTTCTGGTAGCCTGCTGGGCTTGGTGCCACCTGGTGGTAGCTCTGGGGGCTGGGGCTGGGCTGGTAGGAGCCTTGTGGGGAGGGGGCAGCATAGGGAGAGAACTGGTCTGTGTTATACCTGCAGAGACAGGAGAGAAGGGGACATTTGTTGGAGCAGGGAGGGAAAAGGAGGCAGTGGGAGGGTTTGGGCAGGGGTAGATGAGGGCAGGCCCCAGCGGACTCACATGGCCGGCGTCCCTGGCGTCTGTGGGTTGTATTGTGGGTTGACCTGTGGGGATGAGGGGTCGGGGTAGCCAGGTGTTTGGGGATTGGGAGTTCCCCCATAGGCCTGCGGGGATGGGGTAGGCTCATCATCGAAGGCATACTCATATTCTTCTTCAGCCCTGTTGAGAGAAAGGTCTGTTGAGAGCAACTGTGGTGATAATGTGGTGGATGCTTCCAGAATAGCCGCCTACACCAGACCCTGAACGGAGACAATTTCATTCTTATGAGAGCCCATCCAGAGGAGCTCCTGATGTTATTTCCCTTCCACAGCTGAAACTGTGGTACAGAGAGATGAGGGTACCCACCCAAGGGCACTCCACCCAGGATTTTTCCCCAAGCCCAGGAGTACCCACAATCACTACTGAGGCTGGGGCTGGAGAGAAGGCCGCTTTGCCCCCACCCTGCCATGCTATGCCTCCTCCTTTAAAGGCACCAGCCTGGGGCTGGGAGCAGAGAATGCTGCATGGGCCCCAGAAACCCCTCCATCCCCCAGACACCCAGTGTGACTCTTCACACACACCAACACACACCAGAACCTGGAGAACCCTGGACTCACCGTGATGGCGTGT